ACTTTACAAAAATTATTAAATACAATAATATTTTACAATTTAGCTATTAAATATATATATATATAAATTAATAAATTATACAACAAAAAAAAAATTAAATAAAATAAAAATTAATAACGATACTAAGTCTTTCAACTTGATTGCCATTGTTTCTCAAAAAAAAATCGTCGGTTGGTTCATCAGGCTCATATACAAAATTTTTCATATCTTCGTCGTTGAAGATAGATTCAGTAGGTACTTTGAATTTTTCAGGATTACTCCACTTATTACCAATCAATTTTGACAATTCGTTACGTCTTTCAATCTGTTTTCTAACTTCATCATCACCAGGAATAGTTTTTCTAGCACCGTTTCTGCCTCTTTTTATTCCCCTTTGTTTATCAGGCTTTATTATTTTTTGGGGGGAGGGAGGGTGAAATGAAAACAAAAAAAATCAATAAATTTAGTCATTGAATAATAAAATCAAAGAAATTGTAATGATAAACCCATCTTGTGAATTGGTTAATAATTAGTGTTAATGGTAAAAGGATAATAAAAGTAGTAATGGATAAATATTATGTGAAACTTTTTTTATATTTTATTTTTACCTTTACACCTCCAACGTTTAATATGACACGTTCTTCACTACGTTTGCCACTATTACTACTAGGATCCAAATCCATTTATTTATTTTATTTATTTATTTATTTGTTTATTCATTCACAAGAGTGTTTTTTATATACATTATATAGATGCGAAGTTCAATACTTAATTTGGAAATAATGGGGTTTATTAATCAAAATTTACATGGATTAGAAGAAATTAATAAAAAATTATCACTTTTACCCCTAACTATAATTATTACTGACATCACTGACTGCCACTTGTTTACTTCAAATATCACACTGCTGATTTATTCAGGAATCTCGATAAAAATAAAATTTGATTTTGCTGCTCTAACGACTTTATTTTTTTCCTCCAGAGGTTCATACTTGCCAAAATTTGCATCGAATACAGTTAAAAAATGTTGATGATAAGAACAAGTTCGTGTTTGATTTCGAAAAGTATCTTTGTAATCTTCGAATTTTTGGCAAAATACGCTGAAGAATTTAGAGGGTGTAAGTGTTGGAAATCTACAAACAATATCGATGCGATCTTTTATTAGTGCTGATATTACATTATTGTGCGCATCTTTATTATGGCATGTATGCGTAAAGTTTGTAATAAAATCCATTTTATCTAACGTTGTTAAAAAAATCAAATAATTTCCATAACAATGCATTAATAAACTAGAGGTTGAAGGCGACAAAATTTTATAGTGACTGGAGAGCTTATATTTTGGAAAAACTTCAAGTACAAGTTTAGATGATTCTTTATAGGTTTTTCGAAGAGAATATTCATCAGCCATTAATAATGCTCTTATAGGATCTGTTTTAAAGTTGTATTCTAAAAATTCAGATGCTCTATCATGTAATGAAAGTACTTCATATCTATCAGCCAATCTAAGCATATCATCGACATTTTCCCAAGAAATGCGTAAATTTCTTGTTGGATAAATAAACGATAATAAGTTTTGAAACGATTCTA